GGCCATCCATGGTTTCAGGGTTTTGAGTAGCATTTTCCTTTTGGGAAAAATGTTGGAAGAATATGGTTCGGCCTCCAAATTTTTGTTTGTTGTTTGTTTGAAATTTGAACAAAATTCCTTGAGGACATGAAAAGTATTTCGTCTTAGTGAATTGAATAGATGGTCATAGTGGGTGGTCTTAAAAATTGGCCATTCTCTGGGAGAAGCGGGGGACTTAGGGCTGGTAGAGAAATGCTTTCTTATGGCTAAACTACTGTATTTAGAACAGTTTGTGACCTAAAGAATACAAACCCAGTATAATCTTTGCAAAGGCAGGTGGCTTGTAATTAGAAGACCACTCTGGAGAGCGTTTTTTGTGGTTCGTGTATTTGAAATCCTCTGTTAATAACATATTCTGACTGTAACGTGTAAAATGCTTGGCAACTGACAAAAGCCCCATGGGAGAGGGTGTGGTGGATCCATTTACAGCTTGTGAGAAGGGGCCTTCGGGTGCCCTCCATCCATCCACCCGGGCGCCTGCCCTTCTTAGCTTCTTTTCACATGGCAATTGCTTTTCCCATGAACGGTTTTCGTGCCTTCCCCTGCCCACCCCCTCCTCCGCTCCTGCTGTAACTCCCCGCGGTTCTTGAAAAGGTCCTAAGGAGAATTGGCAGATGGCTCTAGCATTAAAAACTTGTCTTTCTTTGTTGGTCTCCTTTTGTGGCCCGTGGTTTCCATTGTCATGCCAATGTGACAGTAGGGGCAAACGGGGCAGAACTCTGAGTATTAACCCAGGCCCTAGCCCTGCAGTTTGTCTTGAAAGCCACCCCCCCTCCCCATCCCTGGGGGGAAGGGGGAACACTAAAGAAACTGTCAGCTTGGAAAGTGATCGAGGTGAGTTAGTTGGTACACTTTCGGGGGGGAAGGGCTAGAGAAAGAAGCCCAAACTGGAAAGTTTCAGAGAGAGGAAGAAAAGGGTGCCTTTTTTGACCTTACTTTATTACTATTTAATGACTTAATATTTTCTTGAGTTGAGGCATTTCACCGAGAATTTCATTTTGTTACGTTCAAAAGCCCAATGAAACAACTATAGATATGTGTATCCATGCAGGCCTGTTTTTTGATCACAGGACATCTTAAAATGTACTTTTTAGCACTATTTTTGGAGTTCGAAAATGCTTAGAAACCGAAAGATCAACTCCTTGATCACTAGATTATAGGCTGTGAGATTTTACATACATTCTGCATCGTTTCCTCGTTAATGATACTCATTAATGATACATGTACTAATAAAGTTAAAAAAAATTTTTTTTGGGATAAATTTCTAACTAGCAAGAAGATTGCAAAAATCATTCAGAGGTCTCTTCTATACCTCCCATCCGGATTCCTCAATTTTGCCACATTCTCAACATTCTCTCTCTCAGCCATCAGAGAATTAAGTTCCAGATATCATTCTCTGTTGCCCCTAAATCCTTCAGCTTTGAATTCCTGATAGGACATTTCCCTTACATGACACAGTACAATTAGCAAAATCAGGACATTTAACGCGAGGCGTTGCTATCGTTCTAATCTAATGTCCTTACTCAAAATTTGCCGTTTGTCCCCCCAATGCCCTTTCGTAGTAGCATTTTTTTCATGGTCCAGGGACTGATCCAGGTTTGCCAGTTGAATTTGTCCTTTCTTCTTCGTCTCTTTGAACCTGGCGTAGCTCCTGGGTTTTCTTTGTCATGACATTGACATTTTTTGAAAAGGGGGGACCAGTTTTAGACCAGTTACTTTATACCTTGTCTCTCAATTTGTGTTCGGTGTCTGAAAATTAGATTCACAGCGTGCATGGTTAGCAGGAATTAATATAGTGTTAAGAAAGTCAGTGGCACAGATTCTCACTGGGATGTTGCCAAAGTTTTAGAGGCATTCTGTTGATCAAATTGAAAAAATTTCAAATTTTGAGAAAAAAAAATTTGACCTAAAAGCCCTGATAATAAGGAACTCACCATTGGGAGGAAATGCTGATGACAATCTTTTAAATAGCTTCTTCCAACGTGTTAGACCACCTTATTTCATTCAAGGTGTATCTAAAACAACACATCAATTGGATTAATTTTTAGTGTAATTGTCATGATCTAATAAATTTCCAAAGATTTTAATAATATAATTAGACATATAGATGGGAATGACCTTTTTTCCTTTGAAGCATATTTGAGACTCCATCCTTGTCCATATTAAAGGAACACGAGGGGCTGGGCTTCCGGCATTGAAGTAGATAATTTTAAAAACTTAACTAAAATAATTATACTTCATTGGCGTGAGTGTGGGGCCCTTATGAGGAGTGTCCCCTCTCTTGGCCACTGCATTCCTGGTTCTGAGCACAGTTCCTGGCAGTTGAAGAAAGTAATGGTTCTGAGCTTGTGCTCTGCCTGGATTCAACACACCTGCGTCCACCTCCTCCTGGCTGTGTGGCCAGATCCCTTAACCTGTCACTCATCGGGGGTTGTAATAGCAGCTCCCTTCAGAGAGTTGCTTAAATGTAGCTCTGGCATGGGAAGAAAGTAGCACTGTGCCTGCGATTTGCTGTGTGCTTAAGAAAGTGCTGGTGGCATCGTAGCAGGGAGCCACTGAGTGTCAGTGGGTGAATAAATGGAGGTTATGGGAGACCATCGGGGAGGAGCTGGTGTGAGGTCTTCCTGGAGGAGATGAGTCTTACAGGATGAAAGAGAGTAGGACTGGCTGTATCATTCCTGGGGCCCAGTGCAAAAATGAACACGTATTCAAACATGTTTAAGATTTTCTGCATGGTGACAGCAGAACATTAAACCAAGACAGGGACTGAGTGCTGGGCTCTGTGCCAGCACCTGGAGCACACGCCTTGTAAGTGGACCTGGTAAAGAGTTCTCCAAAGGCCCCAGGTCATGGTGGCTGGGAGTGTGGGGGACAGAACCCCGAGTTTCAGGCTCCATCTTATTCTTCCCAATT